CAGTTCTTTATTTTTATTAAAGATGTTTATGTTGGAAGATAATAGTGCCCATAGTAGTGGGAATCTGCCTCACAATTGATTAGGGTGGTTAGAATTAACATTAATATAGGTGGGGGGGTCTCATTCTTTTGAATGGTTTAAAAGTCTTACTGTTGAGGTTAAGAGTGATGTCTAGATAATCAACTACTTTAAGATTGGAAGAAATCTCAATCCTAAATCCTCGTAATTTAAAGACCCGTATGATATATATGAATATATACAAACGAATTTATTACCTGTAATATATTTATGTATAGATATATATTTTTTATGTTCACACACACACACACACACACACACACACACACACACACACACACACACACATATATATATATATATATATATATATATATATATATATATATATATGTATATATATATCGTTATGGAAAACCTGGTGATCCGTATGGGTAGTCTCAAGGAAGATGAAATCCTGAGAGCTCAATGTAAATCCAGGGCTAATAATTTAAAGAAAAAAAACAGACCACTTTATGCTTCCATTATAATAATTTATGTCACCAGAGCCATTTTAAAGGACGCTGGATCATCAGATAATACTTCCAAAAAATGAGACGAAAGATGAAATGAAAATTTACACTTTTGACTGGTAGTATTAAGTTTATGTAATTTAACAGAGAGGGTAGCGAGGAGTGGTGTGAGAGACATAGTAGAGTTTAGAGAACGTTTATTTTAATATTTCTTTCAATCATACTTAGTATTGGAGGAGGGGGGACCAGACCTTGACCTATTTAATCGATTATATATTTATAATTTGAAAATTGCGTTCCAGCATGAAACAGAAAGTTGACGCCAGTATCTATTTTATATTTGCATATGCTCTATCTCGCATATATGTGCGTGTGTGTATTTTGTCAACAGTCGTTATTTTATACATGCTGCCTTAAATGAGAATAACAAAGAAAAATTTCTATTTGAAAAAATATTCACCTCTTACAACTTTACTTTTATGACATCCAAGTGTGTGTAAAAAAATGTCCATACCAATTATTGCCTCAGGCGTTTCGGGCAATGTTTTAGCCATCTTCAAGAGGTGGTAACTTCTAAACTTAAGAAACGGCCGATCTTCAGCTGGATCATTACTATACAAAGTTACCTACTAGCTCTCCTGAAAGGCATGCATCCACTGTACATACTTAGGAAATGAGAAAGTGAGAGAGAGGGGAAGGGCGAGAAGAAGAAATGAGAAGACAAGGAAGAATTGATTTGATTGTCTCCTCTCGGGAAGCAACGTATTTAATAACTCCCTCTCTAATGCATATATATATATATATATATATATATATATATATATATATATAGAGAGAGAGAGAGAGAGAGAGAGAGATTCTTATGTTTAACATTCTTTTATAGATACAAATATTAAAGTAAATGCTCTGTTTATAATAAACAGTATAAAACAACATTTACCGGCCTGAATGTCCGAGAAATTTTCACAGAAAATATTCGTTCTCTGACAGGATTCGAACCTGTACCCCATACGGAACCGTCATTTAGCGTGACGTGCCTTTACCGATTTGGCCACAAAGGAGCGTTCGGTTAGCAAGGTCGGATTTACTGTATTTAAACTTCAATCTTCCATGAATCTCTTACGTACATTCATATCTGCTCACGGCGTATCAAATGTAAACAAATGACATCACACATTATGAAATGTACAAAGTCTGACAATTATTTTAAGACATTTTTATGTTTATACATTCTTTTTATAGATACACATATTTAAGTTTAAATACAGTAAATTCGACCTTGCTAAATCGGTAAAGGCACGTCAAGCTAAATGACGGTTCCGTATACGATACAGGTTCGAATATATATATATATATATATATATATATATATATATATAATGAATTTTTATTCCAACAGATTTTTATCATATACACGTTGTTTTTTAGTGGATACCCATATTTGAGTAGAAAATCCCTATTTATTTTTAAACAGTATATTTATTATCGTCTTCCGGCAGATATATATATATATATATATATATATATATATATATATATATATATATATATGTATTATCTATCTATCTATCTATCTATCTATATATATATCTATATATATATATATATATATATATATATATATATATATATATATAGTATGTATATATATGTGTGTGTGTGTCTGTGTCTGTGTTTGTGTGTGGGATATGTAAGTTGCGTCTGTTCTGTATATATTTAGAGAAGAAGGATGAGAACAAAGAATTATGATTGAAATAAGAAGACAAAAAGTTGAACTTAAAGAAAAGGCAGATCGATATATGATCAGGTTGATTTTGATAGATATGAAAAACATATATATATATATATATATATATATAGATAGATAGATAGATAGATAGATAATAAAGAGAGATTAGATTGATATGAAAAGACATTAGATAAATAGGTATAAAAACGCAGAAGATAGATATATAATCAACAAAGTGAGATTAGATAGATAGATAGATAGATAGATAGATAGATAGATAGATAGAAAAAAGACAGTAGAAAAAATAGAGATTTAGATATAGAGAGACAAATTCAGTAGATTTATAGAAATCTAAATAAGTAATGAAACATATAACAAAAAGCTTAATCCTGTTTTGGACAAGCTATTTATAAGTAATCAGTTTTTCTGCGTCTTCTTGGCACGTTCGTGAATTTTTGGTCTGATATCTCTTATTTCCTATACATTAAAAAAGATTTGCAGTGGGGAGATTCCAACAAGATATTTCTGATTACGCGACGCTCAAGTCGTCGTATTTCTAAAAATCACTCTTACACCTGTTCCATTAGAACTGGAAATGGGACTCTAATTCATAATTTAATTGGATACAACTGCTAAATATAGTGGGGAAGTTTGATAAGGCTTTCTGAGCGGAAGATGGGGAAAAAACGGCTGAGGAGATAGCGAAGTTGATCCGTCACAAACTCACACATGTAAAAGATGTTAAAGAAAGTTGTGATGAAGGTATAAGAAAAGTGAATAACATTTTTTTTTCGAGTGTAGTGGCATGGATGCTGCTTACCAAACAATTTTACTTAGCTGAAATCGGTTTTGTCTCTTTCTGAAGAAAGAAATTTCAAGAGTGAAGGAGAGAGATTGTAAAATATTCAGTGATTCTTCGAAAATATATAAAAAAAAAAGAAACTTATCGTGTATTCATTTTTAATTTTGATCTTATGTGAAGCGTTAGACTTTCATCACAAAAATTAAAATAAAATAAAAAAAAAATATTGTTTTTTTTCTGAAGCGAAAATCATTGCCCTACATGGCCATAGCCTAGTTGTTGAACGCGTTGGTTCGTAAATGTGATGGCATTGTAATTGTGAGTTCAGTCTCTAGGCCGAACAGTGTGCCCTTGGATTCAGTGTAAACGATCGAGCAATAACCGTGCAATACTATGAAAAAAAACAAAAGAAAAACTAGACGAGATATCCCTAGACATGGAATGAGAAAAGTCTACCTGTCTCGATAGTAAGGCTGATCAAGGTCAAAATTGCAATTCATGCAGAAAACGACCTCAAGGCCGTCGTTAACTGGTGCAAAAGATGGCTTCTCAATTTTAACGCCACCAAAACTAAACTTCTCTCCATTAATCGCCCGATAGATTCTTCTATGCTTTCCATCGGCATAAGTGATGCTAAACTCCAGGAAAATGACTCGTTACGCTTAGGTTAACATTCTCAGCTGACATGAAGTGGAAAGACTATATTGAATCCAATGCTAGGTCAACTATGTTCAGTACTGTACGTGACAATTATTCTCTCCAGAATTTATCTTGCATATCTATAAATCTACCATTCGCCCATGCTTAGAATATTGCTACCATATATGATCTGGTGTCCCTGCTACTTACCTGGCAATCCCAAAGGAAAATCAGCAATATTATAGGTCCTGATCTGACGGCTCGGCTTCAGTCACATGCTCACCGCCGTAAAGTTGCCTCTATGTGATTTTTTTCATAAATACTTTCATGATAATTGTTCAAATGAGGTCTTTGCAATGATTTAGGCGTAGTACTAGACTAGCGGCGAGATCTCTTCAATTTACACTTGAGATAGCTAGATGTAACCGACACTTCTATGCTAACAGTATTTTCTCGCACTTCTCGCTTGTGGACATCACTTCCGGTTCCATATTTTCCAGCCAACTGTAATCTTCAAAAAATTTAATGTTAATCGTCATCCTGATTACTGATTACGCTTCTCTCTTTCTACTCATTACTAATATTTCTGTTTCTATTTACTCCACATCCTGTAATCCCTTATGCTTTAATGGCTGTACTGCCTTGCTCGGGGTGATATCGATTTAAAAAAAAAAAAAAAATTAGTAGAAATAAAGTGTTCAGTTCAGTTTCCTGTATGTTACGGAAAGATTACTGAATGAGGAATAACCGAAACGGAGGTTGGAAATTAAACTGTAATCTTTAAAAAATCAACAAAGTAAATACTCGCCAGCGGCGTGAAGTAGGTAAACCACTGCTAGCGGTGAACTACTTAGACAGCATATTACTTCTACTTATAATAGTGTCCAACGTATTAATGAGGATTGGGACATACCCATTAGTGTTCATAGGTAAGGTATATAACAGTTACCCAGATCGATATACACGTGATGAAGGCCGGAGCACACTTAGTATCATCCATAATTTACCTAGACTTTTCAGCTAGCCTGATGAATATTTTATGAGCGTTTCTTAAATTTAACAATTTTGAAAAACTTACAACATTTTTACTTTTATTAAATATGTGTTGCAAATTAAAATGACTATATTTGAATTGATAAAATCTATCAGAGGACGGAATGTATCGGCTAAGATATTTTTCTTTTGTTTTTATTCTTGATGTCAATCGTTTTTTCGAGATAACAGAGAAATAAATAAATAAAACAAACTCGTAGGTAATTAATTAAATAGAAGGTTTACTACACAAAGATACATTTAGCATTTGACCTCATGCTAACTCGGTATTTACCCGAGCTCCCCATCATGCGAGGTGTGGCACAAGGCCAGTTTAAGATAGGGTTTTCAGAGTCCATAAGGCAAGGCAAAAATTCCCTGTAGACCCTGTAATAACAGGGTCGGGTTTTGGCTACCTCCCCAGATGAGACTCTGCCCTTCGGCATAGCCTCGTCTGGTTTCTTCTCTGCCTTCGGGCAGAGAGTTCGACAAGCACTAAGAGCTTAGCGCGCGGCTAAGGCCTAATGCTAACGCTGCTCAACTCCGTTTAACTCCGCTTATTTACATAAACGGACGATTCCATTCATTTATGTCCTATATGACATAACCTCAAAGAGGTTACTTACCACGTAAGCCTGCAGGGTCTAAAGCTCATTTCAAGCCTCATATCGAACACGAATATTCATGGAATCTAAAAAGGTCCTCACAGAATGGTTTTTAAATAGTTGATCGTGGCTCCCTGCAGCAAGTTTTTCTTCAATATCTGAATTCCCACGATTTCTTGAAATACAATGGATCGGCTTCCCGTTGCCTTCTCAATATCATAGCATCATCACAGTGTTTCGATATTTGTATTTTCCAGACATCATCAGGTGTACGCTGATCCGGGTACAGAGAAATTCGAACAGAAACCTATATTTAATGTACGGGAGCAGATGGTTCTCACTCCACTGCCCATGTATAGGCATATCTCGTCTAGTTCTTATTTTAGTATGGCTCAGATATTTTTCGTCATATTTTTTCGGAGTCCAATAACGCACTGCCCAGTCCAGGAATTGATCGAATAAAAACCTTGTTAGGTTTTGGGTGGTTTCTACACCTTTCTGAGTTCCCACCTACCAGGGTGGCTAGGAATTTTCTATTACAGACGCCTGCTTAACCCACAGACCCTACCCGTGATTTTGAGATGGAAATAAATAAAAAAGACAAACTCGTCGGTAAGTAATGAAATAAAAGGTTTACTACACGAATATATATTTAGCAACTAGGGTACCTATAGGTGGTCTAATGGTTAGCAAGCTTGTCTGGCTCAGAACTATTGCGACTGAGTAGTGAGTTCGATCCTCACTGGATACCCCATACTTTCGGCCTTGTGCCACATCTGAGCTACGCTTGGAAAATCACTATGGGCACCTCGACGTGGCGTAATGGTAAGAAAGCTTGTCTTGCTAGATCAATTACGACTGAGTAGTGAGTTCGATCCTCACTGGATACCCCATACTTTCGGCCTTGTGCTACATCTGAGCTACGCTTAGAAAATCACTATGGGCACCTCGACGTGGCGTAATGGTAAGAAAGCTTGTCTTGCTAGATCAATTACGACTGAGTAGTGAGTTCGATCCTCACTGGATACCCCATACTTTCGGCCTTGTGCCACATCTGAGCTACGCTTGGAAAATCACTATGGGCACCTCGACGTGGCGTAATGGTAAGAAAGCTTGTCTTGCTAGATCAATTACGACTGAGTAGTGAGTTCGATCCTCACTGGGTACCCCATACTTTCGGCCTTGTGCCACATCTAAGCCGGGCTTAGAAAATCACCATATTTAGCAATTGACCTAATGATAACACTGCTCAACACCGTTTAACGCCATTTAACTCCCGCCTATTTACCTAAACGTCCGATTTCATTCATTTATGTCCTATATGAGAGAAAAATAGATAGAAAGATAGCTGTACCTCGTGTTTTCGAGATAACAGAGGGAAAATAAATGAGGAAGACAAACTTGTAGGTAAGTAATGAAATTGAAGGTTTACTACGCGAAGGTACATTTAGTGAATGACCTAATCCTAACTCAGTATTTATCCGAGCTTAACACAGAGCAGGAGGTGGCACAAGACCGGTTTAACGTGGAGTTTTCAGAGTCCATGTGTCCAGGCAAAAAATTCCCCGTAGACTGCGTAATAACAGGGGTTGGGTTTATCTACCTCCCCAGATGAGACTCTGTTCTTCGGCATAGCGTCGTCTGGTTTCTTCTCTGCCCGAAGGCAGAGAGTTCGACAAGCACTAAGAGCTTAGCCCGCGGCTAAGACCTAATGCTAACTCTGCTCAACTCCGTTTAACACCGTTTATTTACATAAACGGACAATTCCATTCATTTATGTCCTATATGACAATTCATATTGTCCTTTCGCAGATATATATTTTAAATATATTTGAAATTCTACACACACACACACACACACACATACATATATATATATATATATATATATATATATATACACAGAGAGAGAGAGAGAGAGAGAGAGGTAAGCGAGAGATAATATGATAAAGTGTCTTAACTGTAAATATCAATTTTTGATGTTGTTTCACCGACTTCGAAGTTTCATGGTATTGGTCATTCTTCAACAGGACTCTTGTTGAAACGCTATCATATTATCAATGGTCTATTTTTAATATTAATATTCTATTAATATTTTTTAATATTGAGCACTATATGAAAATACCTACTTCAATTTTGAACTATTATATTCTTAAACATTAAATCATATATATATATATATATATATATATATATATATATATATATATATATATATATATATGCTTTCGAGACATTCTGAAAATAAGTTGAGAATTTTCCTTAAACTCAATACAGAAAATCTGGGAGAATATATTAATAACGTTCACAACATGAACTAAGAATTATAAAGAAAAGGGGAAAAAGTGCTAATGATTTTGCTACTTAAGCACACACACACACACGCACACACACACACACTTCTTTATTTTTTATATATTATATATGTAAGGCAGGGTGTGTGTGTTGTGTGTGTGTGTGTGTGTGTGTGTGTGTGTGTGTGTCTGTGTGTGTGTGTATATAACGAATGCACGGCCGCAATTTTTGACGGATTTGCACCAAAATTTACATACACATGTTCCAAGGCCAAGACCGACTTAGCATTTCCCAACTCCCATCGATAGTGGAAATAATCATTTTTTCATGCAGTTTTCATGTAGTTTGCGGCCATTTTCTACTGTCCAGAATGAGAGCCTATAGCTGGCTGCCACGAATAGGCAGCAAGATTCTATTGGCCAGCGTGAGAACCAACAGCTGACTGACACGAATGTTAACTAGCATGCTAGTAAAAAAAAAAAATCGATAGCTGCATTCGTCACAAGTGGGAAAAATTTAAATCTGCATGGCACTTTACTCCAACTGGCTCATTCGCTTGCTTTAACTCCACGTTGATTCTGATTCCTCAGAACTGGGTTGGGTGTGAAAAAGTATGTGTTGTTAACATTCTTTTTTCATTCAGTTTTTTCAGTTACGAATCCTTTTTTAAAGCTGATCGTTTTGTGTTCATTTTGTTTAGTTCTTTTTTCGTAACAGATTTAATATTTAGTATAGAGCTTAGAAAAAATTCGCAGTGTGAGATAGGCAAGAAGTAAGGCATGTAGCAACATCAGCACGGCAAAGGGAACTCCTTTAAAGGAAAGGAAGGGCAAAAATATTTTAAGTCAAGTGATAGCGATTGCTGTATGAGTCGTACAATTTTTGAATCAAGTCGGGCAACGCCGGGCCAGGGTTGTATATATATATATATATATATATATATATATATATATATATATATATATATATATAGATTAATATCTATGAATAAGCATGTTTTCTTGGGGAAGATGTTGCAGTTTTTTCCTGTTGCCTTCTCAGTTTGTAATATCCCGTGTTTTCCCCCTCTTAAAATTAAGATAGTTGTCACCCAACGCTAGATAACACAGTCTACACAGCTGTTTAACCCATAGCTAGGGAGAGGAGTGAGAAAGAGTTATGCCTTTCTCAATGGCATTTGTACAAAGTGAACGCCCCAGACTAGCCCAGAATTTGAACTCGACCCTCTCATTTAACTTTCCCAGACGATATTTGTTAGACGAGACGTCAGTACAAATATCAGTAACATTAGATTCTCATTAAAATTCTTCATGCTACATAAAAATAAAAATATTGTGCAATTGTCTCTGTATTTTATACTTGAATTACTATCAAATGTTATCAATTTTTCGTATTATTATTATAATTATAATTATTATTTCTTTATCACAAACGTCCTCTAGAAAGTAAGCAGCGCAGATTGGAAAGAAGAAAATAAACGTTTTAAGCATCATCCCTTCTAGAAAGCATGTCTTTTTTTTAGGCCTCGAAGGTTTTACAGTAAATAACCTCCACATGTTTATATTTTCTTTACTCTTCGCTAACCAGCCATAATTTACTTTATTAAACTAATCGTACAGCTACATCCCATAATTTCCAGCAAATGGATACCAGCAATGTTTTTTTGGACAAAATGACAAGCAAACGTTTAAATTTCACACAAATAGCAAACTAATTCCTTGAGTTGCCAAGGGCGGTGTTGCTTTCAATAATAGTTTAATAAAATGTTTCTGAACGTCGATATTTCTGTAGAGATGCAAAATTCTGAGTCGAAGGTGTATCATTGAATTCTTAATAAGTGACCTCTGTGTACCCGGCTTAAAGGATACCCGGCATGGCTCGGAAACAAAGGGTACCGGGAAATCAGTTGTGTACTTGTATTAGCTATAGCAGAAGACGAATCTCATTGATGAAGTTTTAGTAAATGTTATAAATTTATGAATAATACCTATTACTTTTTTTTAAAATTTTTATTCCTACGTACACTGCTTGCCTAACGGTCGTAGTTTAACGATCTGAGATTTGCTGTAAAAAAACAACACAATCAAGACGGTAAAAATAGTGATTAAAATTAACGATAATTGGTCTTTTATCCCCTTTTTGCAATCCCTACCACCCCACAAAAATAAAGATAAAATGTTCTATCAGATTAAAACCAAAATTTATTTTCTGAAAATCTTTCTAATATTAATATGTCTTCTTAATTCTTATTCTTTCATTATTCTCTCTACTTAATAATATTTTTTTCTCATATTATCTAACATTCGGTAACTCTTTGCATCCTAGTGGCTCTATTGCCTTGCTCAGGGTGAAAATATTAAAAGAAAAACAACTAAATTTTACAAAATAATTCAATGTATGAAATTGATGGAAATCTTATTTTTTTGATTTTAGATATTTTTTCTATATTGATTGAACGAATTTTCTGTCTTGAAAAAGTGGAATCTTTCAGGAACATTAAAAAAAGTATCGATAAAATTGAATTAAATATAAACTTTGTGCCTTCTGTTTCTCCTCGCAAGCTATTCTTTGGAAAGTGGAACAGAACTACGCATGTAAGCTGATCTTTATCAATAAATTCCAAATCAAGTTTGAATAGTTGGCAAATGTATATATATATGATTGTAATGTTGAGAGTGGAATCCTTACAAGGCCCCGAGTTATGTTTGATTATGAAACATATAAAAGGAAGAAAAGGTTCTATTAGAAATGGTTTTCATCTCGTTTTGCACATTCGGAATATTTTGCCGACATTTTTAGAGACTGTTTGTTCATATGTTTGTCGATCAGTTACTCCTGGCAGCAGACTTTTCTTTTTTTTCCGATTTTGTTTTGTATAGAAAAAGATTAAAAGGCAGATAAGCGAGTGCAGAAAAATTGAATCGCAATTGGGCAAATAGAAAACTATATCGGAAAGCAAACTCGAAAAACGATAGAAATAATGGAAAAAAAGGAGGGAAATAATGAGAGAGAGAGAGAGAGAGAGAGAGAGAGAGAGAGGGTACAGTGTTGGAAAGAGGAAGTGAAGTAATGAGAAAGGGGAAAAGGAGGACGATAGATAAGAAAGAAAGAAAGAAAGAAAGAAAGAAAGAAAGAAAGAAAGAAAGAAAGAAAGAAAGAGTAAAAAAAAAATAAGAGGGAGAAAAACGAATGAGAAGAAAGCAAAGAATGAAGGTAAAAGAGAGAAAAGAAGTAAAAGATAAAGAAAGAAACCAAGCTGGCAAACCAACATGAAAAGCATTGAAGAATCGGTATTTTGATGATAAAAGAGAGAAAGAAAGAAAAAGAGAAAGAAAGAAAGAGAAAGAAAGAAAGAAAGAAAGAAAGGGAAAAAGTAAGATAGAGAGGTAGGTACCAAAGAAGAAAAGAAAGAAGGACAGAAGAAGAAAGAAAGAAAGGAAAAGAGAGAGAGAGAGAGAGAAAAGGATCAAAGTGAGAAGGAAAGAAAAAGAAAGAAAGCAAGCAAGCAAGAATGAAAAAAGGAAAGAAACAAAAAAAGAAAAGAAAAATGGGATAGTAAATGAGGGGGAAATGAGAGATGAAAAATGTAATAAAAAAGAAAGAAAGAAAGAAAGAAAGAAAGAAAGAAAGAAAGAGAAAAAAAAAGAAATAAGAGGGAGAAAAACGAATGAGAAGAAAGCAAAGAATGAAGGTAAAAGAGAGAAATGAAGTAAAAGATAAAGAAAGAAACCAAGCTGGCATACCAACATGAAAAGCATTGAAGAATCGGTATTTAGATGATAAAAGACCGGTTAAAGAAAGAAAGAAAGAAAGAAAGAAAGAAAGGGAAAAAGTAAGATAGAGAGGTAGGTACCAAAGAAGAAAAGAAAGAGGGACAGAAGAAGAAAGAAAGAAAGGAAAAGAGAGAGAGAGAGAAAAGGATCAAAGTGAGAAGGAAAGAAAAAGAAAGAAAGCAAGCAAGCAAGAAAGAAACAAGGAAAGAAACAAAGAAAGAAAAGAAAAATGGGATAGTAAATGAGGGGGAAATGTAATAAGAAAGAAAGAAAGAAAGAAAGAAAGAAAGAAGTAAAGAAAGATAAAAAGGGAGTAATAAAATAAGAAAGAAAAAGCGACAAAAAATAAAAAAAAGAAAAACAATTAATGAACGAAATTTAAATGAAGTAAACAGAGCAAATATTCAACTAAGATTGCGAGAAAAATTGAAACGCAAGGTCAAATGAAAGAAGCGGAAAAAAGTAAATAATGAATGAATGAAAGTGTGAAAACATGGGAAAGAGGAGACGTATGATTGTAAAAATGTGACTAAGAAAACTAATAAAGAAAAAAGGGAAAAAGGAAGAAAAGGCAGGGGATATATATTATATATCAAAGAATAAATAAAATGCAAGAGAAAAAGAAGAAATAAACCCAAAAGAGAAACCTCGAAGACAATACAGGAGGAAAGAGGAAAAAAAAGAAACCAAAAACAGAGATGAAACATTGCAAAATTAAAAGGAAATATAGGAAGAAAAAGAAAGAAACTTGGAGCAGGACATAATTAAAAAGTAAATGTAGAAAAAGAATGTGCCATAAAGCAAAAAAAAAAAAAAATTGAAGGAGAAAGAAAGAAAAGAGGTGCGAAAAGAAACAGTTTGAATTAAGGAATAAAGACAGAGTAAAAAGATCGAGTCATAAGCGAAAAATTATCTCGAATGAAAACCGGTGAGAAAAAAAAAAGCGTAATAAAGCAGACTGATAAATAATGGAGAAGGCATGTATAAGAAAAAATTTGAAAAAGACAAGGAAAATGATAAAAAAAAAAATATGTAGATAACTTAATCGTCAAACACATCCCGGCAAGAACAAACAAGAAGAAAAATTGGAAGGAAGAAAGAAAAAAAATAAAGATTTTGAGAAGGAAATAAGAAATGCAAAGAACTTATCATGGGGAGAGAATCGCTTCGAGAAAATTTATAGAAAATAGTAGGTATGACTGCTACTAAAACTAAGGCCACATAGATGGTGTCTGGCAGGCAAATTGTTCTAGTGTATCGAACGGAATTTCTATGCATTTCATAATGCATTTGCCATATGCACATTAACATGCGTGTGTACAGATGATGCGCACAGTTGGTGCACTTACCAAATTCACGTTTAAGTGCAGTGTCTATGCAAGTAAGATGTTTGCTGTTCCATCGGCAGCCTCACCGAAAAAAAATGCACGATAATATAAGGCACAAGGACACTAATAAGAAGCACCCAGTGAGGATAGAACTCACAGCCGAGTCGAAATTGGTCTATCGATACAAGCTTGTTTAAACTATGTCGAGATGCCCAGTAAGCGATTTGCCAAGCGTATCTTAGAAGTGGCACAAGGTCATAAGTTTCGAGCAACTAGTGCGGATCGAGGTCACTACTCTTCTGTAATTGCCGTAGCGAAATAAAGCTTGCTAAAAATTAAACGAAGAAGTACCCAACGGAGTGTTTAATGTGTGTATGTAGCGTTTTACTAGACCTAAGTACCCAGTGGGGATCAAACTCACTACCCAGTCGTAATTGGCGTAAGGCAACAAGTTTGCTTACTATTTCTCCACGACGAATTGCCTAACGAAATGCTTAATGTAATGCAATGTAATTTAATTTAATCTATCTATCTATCTATCTATCTATCTATCTATCTATCTATCTATCTATAGTAATATATTCGAAATCTAATGATGCCAACGACATCACACTTGCAAGAAAAAAAAAAATAAATAAAAATCAACATTATATCTTCTTCTGTCAGTCCATATAACAGAAATGGCCCTATTGGCTATGGCTCCAGAATACGCCGATTGCACCTTTGAGAAGGGCAAGAAACCTCCAAATGGGGCGTCCTGGGTAAGACAATAAACTAGTTCTAACAGCAAGGCCTCTAATCTGGAGGTTTTGAGGAGCGTGGAACCACTTCTTAATTGCCAGTGTTTCCAGGTCCACCCTGACCTGGGGTGGTAGCACCTGAAGTCAAATAGGATTCAAAAAACTGTGGAGGAGTATAAATAGGTATTAATACAGCAATATTTTTCTTGAGGAAAAAAAATATTACCAGCAATACATTTTTGAAGAAAATTATTACCAGCAATATAGTTTTGAAGTAAAAATTATTATCGGAGATAAAATTTTGACGGAAAAATCATTACCAGGAATAAATTTTTGTAGGAAAATTATTACTAGCAATACTTTTGTGAAAGAAAAATTCTTGCCAGCAATACATTTTTAATGGAAAATTATTACAAACAAAATATTACCAGCAATACGTTTCTCGAAAAATATTACCTGCAAGAGATTTTTGGGAAAAAAATATTAGCCGCAATAGATATTTGAAAGGAAAAATATTACCAGCAGTACTTACTATGAAAGTGTAAAAATAGATTTTAATACCATAAATAATTTGTAAAAAAATATTACCAACAATACATTATTTACCAGCTATACACTTTGGGGAAAAAATACTACCAGCTATAAATTTTTCGTAAAATTATTACCAGCGATACATTATTTGAAGGAAAAAAACATTACCAGCAATACATTTTTGAAAACAAATACCAGCAATAAAAATTGCCGGCATTAAATAACCCCATCGAGGTTGATATGCCGCAAAACAAAATAGAAACCAAACCATAACAGAAAGCATATTCATTTGTCAACGCATATTGAACAAAGTAACTCAAAAAATATGAGACCGTGCAAGGTTATACGTTTAATGAAAGAGTTAGATAGATATAAAGATTGGGCAGACTAAAATAGATAGATAGATAGATAGATAGATAGATAGATAGATAGATAGATAGATAGATAATGAGAATAGGCATATATGAACAGATTATAATTGATAGATCTAAAATATATATATATATATATATATATATATATATATATATATATAATATTTTTTTTGTTTAAGAATATGATTCTTTCGCTACATGTTCTCATGTTTCAAAAACGAGAGCTGAAACCATTCAAATAATTATTAAAATTATGTTGAATTGAGGTGTTTAGTCCCGTTTCATCCCGAAATTTTAGGAAACTCCGGATTATGCACCCAACGTGTTCTTTTCTATTTTCTGCATACCTGCGCACTTATACACTTATCTATCTATCTATCTATCTATCTATCTATCTATCTATCTATCTATCTATCTATCTATCTATCTATCTATTCTCTTCTATACTATCCTCTTAATATCTATCTATCTATCTATCTATCTATCTATCTATCTATCTATCTATCTATCTATCTATCTATGTTATCCACTTCATATCTATCTGTCTATATTATCTATCTATCTATCTATCTATCTATCTATCTATCTATCTATCTATCACTGTATGCCACACCCATTTTTGCCCTTGTGCCTAATAGTTTAAATATTGTAGATATCTCAAAAGCAAATTGGCAGTATAAACAATCATGTCTAAAGTAATGCTGTATTTAATTCCTAAAATTCTCTTTCGTAATATTCCAAACGTGTGTCGAAGCCAAGTCAGCAGTTGTTACGAATATATTATGATCTCCTGCGTGTTATTCATCCATACATTATCAATTTTAGACAATTTCTCACGAGAAATAATCTAAATACCTTGTATGTCGCAGTGATTAGATCGTACGGCAACGATTACGTCTTTTGGTTATTAATCGGATTACTGACGCGAAATTGATACATTTTCTCACACGAAATTTGCCTTGGCCGTTTTCGTACAATACCACGAATCTCCTTGAAATCAATCTATTTCATTCATTCAATACAGTCTATCTCGCCTTTAGACATCTACTCATCTCAGGCCTTTCATATAGTTTCACATAGTTTCGATGCATTCATTGTTTTCTGAATGTTCTCTTTATCTATCTATCTATCTATCTATCTATCTATCTATCTATCTATCTATCTATTTCAGTGAGCCTGTGTGTCTGTGCAAATTATCTATTTTTCTTAGTTTTTCCTTATCTATCTATCTATCTATCTATCTATCTATCTATCTATCTATCTATTTCAGTAAGTCTGTGTGTCTGTGCAAATTATCTATTTTCTTAGTTTTTCCTTATCTATCTATCTATCTATCTATCTATCTATCTATCTATCTATCTATCTATCTATCTATCTATCTAATATTATCTGTTTGTATCAATTTCTTTATTTATTGTATCTATTTATCTGTTTCTGATCTATCTACTTCTCTAAGTTCATATCAATCTGTGTCGCTCTGTTCATATCTATATCAATCCTGTCATATCTATCTCAATCTGTTCATATTTATATATACCAGTCTGTTCATATATATCTCAGTTTTTTATTTTCATATCTATCTCTCTGGCTCACTCTATTCCTATCTATCTATCTCTTCGTCCTAGTCTGTTCACATATTTCCACCTCACTATGTTCTTATCTCTCTCAGTCTGTGGATATATATATTTTTTTATCTATCTCTCTATGCTAATATCTCTTTATCTCCGTTTGTTTTTAAATACCTCAGTTTCTCCATATCTGTCTATTAATCTGTTTATCTATCTCATTCTATTTTTATCCTACAATTTATTCATATATATCCTTCTCTCTAAGTATTTATCTATTTATCTATCTATCTAGAAGATTTCATCTGTCGTATAAACTCAAATATGCATATGCATTCGAATGGGTGTTGAAAAGTTCTCTGTCTGATTTATTTCACCAGTTTCACAAAACGACCAACCATCAGATTTTTGCAGCGTATTGGCTTCCCTTGTAGCGTATTTACTTTCAGTAATTTTCAATAAATTTTTGAAAATTCGATTTAAATTTCTTCGCTAAATAAATAGTATTTATTACATATTAAATATAACATTATATCTATGGTAAGACATTTTATAAGCATACTACAGTTAGCTAACAACGAAGATCACCATTATTAAATGAGAATTCAGAGAAAATACTGAATTCTCGGGTGTTTGGCAAAACAGAAAAAAATTGGCAAATATAACTCAGTGCATTTGTATTAGAAAAAGTATTAAAATCCACACATGTGTCAGGGACATGCTAAGGAAAATGATCGTGATCAAATCTATGATTTCAGGTACTTAATGTCAAGTAGATATCCCAGGAACCTAATATTAAGTAGAGATTTCAGTTACCTAAAATTGAGTAAAGGGTTCAGGTACCTAATGTCAAGCAAAGGTTTCAGTTACTTAATATCAGTTTGAGCATTCTGGTACGTAATGTCAAGTAGAGATTTCAGGTAACTAATGTCAAGTAGAGATTTCAGGTAACTAATATCAAGTAGAGATTTCAGGTACCTAAAATTAAGTAAAGGGTTCAGGTACCTAATGTCAAGCAAAGGTTTCAGTTATTTAATATTAATTAGAGCATTCTGGTACGTAATGTCAAGTAGAGATTTTAGGTAACTAATGTCAAGTAGAGATTTCAGATACCTAATATCAAGTAAAGGTTTCAGGTACTTAATGTCAAGTAGAGATTTTAGGTACCTAATATCAAGTAGAGATTTCAGGTACATAAGATGAAGTAAAGGTTTCAGGTACTTAATATCAAGTAGAGATTTCAGGTACATAAGATTAAGTAAAGGTTTCAGGTACTTAATATCAAGTAGAGATTTCAGGTACATAAGATTAAGTAAAGGTTTCAGGTACTTAATATCATGTAGAGATTTCAGGTACCTAATATGAAGTAGAGATTTCAGGTACCTAATGTCAAGTAGAGATTATATTTTTAGTTTTAGCTATGTTTAATGATTACGTAGATTTTTAAAAAAATCTACCTTAGTTTGATTTGATTTGATTGCTTCGTGTTTTACCGATTACCAACCCTTTGCAGATTATTTAAAGCCAGAATATATTTTTAGACTGTAAAAATTTCTTTGGAGACAATAATGGTTTTAGTGATGCAAGTCTTATTAATTAAGCCATAGCTAGGGTATAAGAGGTGGGTTGATAACTTTCTCATGTGAATATATCGAACCAGACCGAAATTAGAACTCGACTCTCCGATTAACAATTCCAAGCCATTATCCATTACACCACCCACACATCCAAGATTTGCAGCACATGTTATTCGCAGGCAGTCACCACTCAAGTTACTGAGCATTTAACATTTTTTATATATATTTCCCTTACTTACATAGAGAAATACCGGTATCGTGTATTTTGTGTTATAGTTTACTTTTTTCCTTTTTTTGCTTTATTTACTAATTCATTAGTGATATCTATGCTTAATCATTCTAACTGTATATCTACGCTTGTGTTGTTGCATTAAAAATATTGAAATTTCAAAATACTTATCGAAGTTCATCTCAGAGTTTCACGATACGATGTTCTAGAGATTTTTTATTAACCATTTTATATATATATATATATATATATATATATATATATATATATTCATCTTGCCTTTTTTATTATTTTAAATTATTTCACCCCAAAGAAAGACATAAAATCCGCTTTTTACTGAAACTGAAAGAGACTGGCAGGACATTAAAAGAAGCCACAAATATCTCCTGAGCCGACCAAGCATAGAAATAAATACAATATGGGAACCAGTAATAAGGAGTGCCAGAGAAAAGCGAGAATAACAAAAACAAAAATTGCAATATGAGCTATGGTAAAAACATACATGAATAACGGAAAAATTGCAATATAAGCACTGGTAAAAAACGTTTGCTGAAGACATTAGGTTTATAATACCCAGAAGACATTAGGTTTATAATACCTCAAAGACACATGACACAGTGGATAAAGGCGTTAGTTAGATCCCGTGACAGGACCCAAAAAGTGTGAGTTCAATACCTGGTTAAGGCGAACTTGAGGAGAGAGGAATTAACTGGAGATAACTGATAACTGACACCCATTAGACATGGCACGTAGAACCAGTTCGATATTCCAACTAGCTGAAGAAAGCCGGAGCGTACAACGGCTGAAACGTTGTGATAAATATGGCAACAAAGATAAAGACAATAGTCCGAATAATGTAAATAATATAAATGAAAGAAGTATATTCAAGGAGACAGATGAATTGATATTGCATTTAAATTTTTGAAGATAGTAAATGACAGGATGCGAGTTCAAAAAGCTTGAGAGACGTAACTATTAATATAGAACTTATGGTTGCAGATGCTAATTTCAACAGTGACATTATATAGCCTCACTTTCAAACTTTTACCGCGCTTAAATTCGTGTAGTCAAAATAAGAACGAGAAAAGCTCACGAGAACAGTTACCATAAAAATATTTATAGAAGATACGTTGTAGTGGTGGGAAATTAACTGAAGGTGAGGTGCCATGTTAGAACCAATAACATTGCAGATTCTTCTTTGGATTTTAATAAGAACCAAAAGACGACATTAAAGTAAATTATTTTACATATATCAATAGATGTTATTATTTTACTATTAATTTACCGTTTGTTGGATACAAATTAATTATTCCCAACTATGAAATGATTTCTTTACGCGTCTATACATTCCGACATCGTTTACCTCGCTCTATGCAAAATTACTACGACTGGAAGAGAGAACATATGTTTTCCCAGCGATCAGTTACTAACTCCTAACATTAAAAGCTGTTACATGACATCTGTTCTTCTTTACAGCAGCGAATGTCGGACGATTTCCTCAAAGATGAAGAAGAGACTCGAGGCGACGGAGATGTGGTTCTACAGAAGGATGCTGAGGATATCATGGACCGAGTGTGTGAGCAACGATGAGGTCATAGAGAGGTTGCAAACAAGGAGGAGGCTTATACTTAACATCAGAAAGAGGCAGCTGATGTTTGTGGGACACATAATGAGGAAGGAGGGCCTGGAGAATCTGATACTCACGGGTTGAAGAGA